TATATATATATATATATTGAAAATGTAAAAAGAATAAATGTACAAAATGAATGTTGGATTACACAAATATATTAATTTCAAGAACATTGAGTGCCAGATGTTACAATCTCTATTTTTTAGCTGTTAACTTTTAAAGATGCTGCTGTGAAAATCATCGTGATTTGTCCAAAGAATTTCTCCAACTATTCCTAAGTTATATTTAATCCAGCTGTAAAGAGAACAAACAAAATATATTTAGCAGTCATTTCATGTTTATTTCAACTGCGTTCAATTTCATCGCACATATGTTATGAGTTTTGTTCTAGTTTCCTTTCCAAAGAGTGACCATAACAAAATGAGTGACCATAACAACGCATTGAAACCGAACGCAGCCTTTATAAAGTAGCAAAGAAATGAATTAATATTTTTTACCTTCTTGAACCCAATATCAGCTGCATATTCTCTGAAGCATTGTCGACAGATATTCAGACCATATTTGCGAATAAGCCCATGCCTATTTGCACAGGCACGGCTGCAACAAAATCAATTTTATTCAAATTACACAATAAATACATTTGCATTATCTAACATATATAAATAAACATACATAATAAATATTAATTTAATTCGAAATTAATACATCTATTCGTTTTATCTGTGATTATTCCATTTCATAAATTTGAAACATTTAGGAAAAAAGAGGAGAGAAGGATACAATTTTAGTTTAGTAAATTGCAGTTAAATTCACTCGTGATTTTTTAAGGTTAGAAACGTATTTAAATGTGTTTGCACAGGAGATGGTTAATAATTAACAATAATACATACATAGTACAGTTACTTCAAATTTTAATGGATCATCAAAGTTTTTGCTATAAATCAAGTTTTTGTAAGAAAAAAATACTGTGTTATTCATGATGACGCCACGCGATCGCTCTGTCATGCCAAATATAAATAATCGCTAATGAAGATTAGCGAGAACAAGAGGAGCATTATACTAACCAGGATCTAGATCCTTGACCGTATTTTCGTGGATGTGAATACCAAATATTCTGGAAACCCATATTTGCTCGTATTATGTCTTTTTTGCAACGCACCGCAATAGACCGACCAGAACCAACGAGTCCACAAATGTGAAAGACAGGAAAAGGAAATGAGCCAGGGATAGAAGACACTAGAAGATAGGAGAGCTTGCTGTTGATTTTAGAATGCTTCAGAAATCTAACCTAATCTTCACGTGCAAGCGTCAAACAGCGGACCAGCGGAGCAGCAACCAATCAATGAGGCGAATTTTACAGTAAAAATTTGCACATTACTGCCCATATCGCGCAGCTGATTGGTTGCTTCCGGTGTTTAACGCTTGCATGTGAATGCATGCCTTAAGAATTGTTTGCGTTGCTTCAAATCGCCAAAATTTTTACACTTAAAATGAGATAAATATATATTCAAGCATTGAAGAGAAAAAAAGCAAAGATTCTGAGTGCAAAAAGTGTAAGCAATGCGAAGATCGCTTATTTACGCGGCTAACGGCACCGACGTACTCAATCACGTGATCATAATGAAACGAAGGCGTTTATATTTGGAATGCATATAAATTTTTTATGTTTTCTTTTATTTAGACTGATGCACAAGTTATTACAAGTACCAAATAATTGTTTATTATTATAATAAAAAGTATAAAAAATTTCAATATATTTCGCTCTATAAAAAAATTTTTTTAATTTTATTAAAGACGAGCGAATATAATGTGGAAAATTTATAAAATTACGTATAAATAGATCGAAAAAAATATTAAATACTAATTACAATAATATTTAGAAATGTTAATATCAGTAACATAATATTTACATAAATTTATATATTCAAAATATAAATTATTTTTGCGTTTATTTACATTTATAAAAATATATATATATATGTGTGTGTGTGTGTGTGTGTGTGTATGTGTAACTTAATATTTATTATTTATGTTAATTTTTTTAAATTCACAAATATGAATTTTATTTTCAAAAGATACAAGTATTTGTTGCAATTTTTTATAAAAAAAAAACAAATAATTATTATTATTATTAAACAGAAATTTGATTATACAGTTATTGGAGAGAAATTCTGTCGCCAGAAAATTCCATCAATGGAAGTAATCATTAAATATTGTAAAAAATAATCATTAAATTCTTTCTCATTTTTTTTTTAGATTTGAATTGTTTGTAAATCTTATCTAAAATTGCGTATTTATATATTTTATTAGATAACATATTTCCTTTTTTTTTAAATCATCGCCAAAATATTAAATGAATTTATAAACGTTTTATATATAAAATTGATGACTATTTTATAAATTACTAAAAATAAATAAAATAATTAGAAGACTATAAAAAAAATGAATTGACATTTATACAACACAGTTCTCCGAGGAATATGCTGGCGATATTCTGGCGACAGGATATAGAATATTCTCTAGATCCTTGAAAGGTCACAGTTCTTTGAGGAATCTAGACATCTCTAGATGTCTTTCCAAGGAGATGTCTAGATCCCTCAGAGAACTGTTGTATGGATAAATATATAAAAAAAATATATAAGTAAGATTTTAAACGCAACTATGATTTTAAACGTTTTTCTGCATTTAATAAGATCTGCATATAAAAAATAATTACCAATTATATCTACAAATTAATAATAAATCAAAGTTTATAAAATCAATGTTAAAATCAATTATACTTCAACATTATTAATTTGAAAGTGTTTATTTCTAATCATTTTTACGATGAACGTTGCAATTCGTGTCACAGATTATAGTCACATGAAGAGAAACTGGTTTTTCAATTATTCTCCCACGTGGATGGTGGAAGGCGGTTGGAGAAGCGGGGATGAGTTACAACGGTACATACTTTCACATGTGAATGATGTGCATTTCATTGTTCACAAGTAAATTTCTTGTGGACTAAACAGATGGATTAATTTTAGTTCCCACTTAAATCAAAATAATATTATGTCAGATGAAAAGAAACTTGAAAAAAAACAAGATAAAAAGAACAAGACAAAAATTGTTTAAATTTATTTTTATTAGTGACGAATATATTGATATATAAATCAGTATTCTAGACAGAAGAGAAAACAGTAATTAAAGGTATAAATCAATTCCTTTTTATTTAAAGATATTTTTAGTAAAAGTTTACTCATTAATAGAATAAAGTATTAAAAATTTCGTTTCTTTTACACTTTATCTTTAATTAAATTTAAAAAAGTTCTAAGCAAATTCGAGACAATTGTGTTGTAGAAAGAACCATGAAAAAACAAATTATGAATTTGAAGATGAAGACAGTACTGAAGATTATTTTATCTTCTGTAATGGGTCCTCTGATTCTGTATGGTATATTTTTCATATATCTACGTTATCAAATGCATTCGAAGTATCTGTTCGAGAAACCGATAATTATAAATGAAACTAGACCAAAGTTTTGGATCTATGCCAAGAACAATGACACCAGTTACCTGAAGCATGTGTATTCAGTACTTCAACGACTCGGTTTCCAGGAAGGTAATAATAAATCCGACTGGGATCTGTTGTGGGCTCACGATTATCCTTTTCGAGTGTTATCCGCGAGCTTAAATAAATTACAACAACATCAGCGAGTTAATCATTTCCCTGGTTGCGGCTATATCACGAATAAAGTGGACTTGTCGACGTCACTTGGCGGTCGGTATATTCCAGCAGCATTCAAGATGCCTGAAGACCAGCAAGCTTTCATCGATTATGCTAAATTAAATCCCGCAAAGCTGTTCGTACAGAAGTCGAATGATCATCGTGGCATCCGCATTCGCCACAGCAGCGATACAAATTTCACTGCCGGCACATTCGTCCAGGAGTTTATCGAGCGGCCGTTTCTCGTGGATGGCTACAAGTTCGATATTGGCGTGTACACTGTCATCACCTCTGTGGATCCGCTGCGAGTGTACATTTATAAGGGCGACGTGCTGTTCCGCTTCTGTCCAATCGAATACTATCCGTTTGATCCGGAGATTCTGGATAAATATGTGGTTGGCGATGATTATCTACCGATTTGGAACGTACCATCCTTGAAGAGATACTATGTTGAACTTGGGTACTCGATGAAGGACTCATTTGATGCATACGTCAGGGAGCAAGGAAAAAATCCAGCAGAAATGTGGAACCGAGCGTATGACGCTATTCGGGAGGTCGCTCTGATGAAGGAGGTGCAAATCAGAGAAGTCTCCAAGCGCTTCGGCAATGGCAGAAATTTCTTCGAGCTTGTAAGATTCGACTTGGCCCTTGATGAGGATCTGAATGTCTACATGATGGAAGCAAACATGTCGCCGAACCTGTCTTCCGCACATTATCCTCCGAATCAATTATTATACGAACAAGTCATATTTAATACATTTGCGTTGGTTGGTATCGCCAAGAGAATCAGAAAAGAATCCTTGAGGACAAGGTAAATATATCAAAAAGACATCAAGATTCTTAGAAGTATATAACTATTTCTAGAAATGTATCTCTACTCATCTAAAAATAAATATATAAATAAAATTATTTACATAAAAAAAGATACTTTATTGGTATATTTAATTAATATTATTATAGAAATAAAAAAGAAGAAGAAATGGAAATAGCGAATAAAAATATCGTAGTGCTACCAGAACTTTGTAAAAAATGTGATAATGACTGCTTTCGCGTAGAGTGTCAATTGTGCCGACCATGTTTCACATCAGAAATAAAACTCATTTTATCGCAGAGTTATCTCGAGCATCAAAATCAAATGGATTTTCAAAGAATTTTCCCACCATCTATAGTAAGTCGTACTTTTTCGTTTAATCGATTAGATTGTAAGTAATTGAATAATTTTTTTACAGACACGGGACATGATGCTGAACAACTACACACTAAGAAATCAATTACTTATTAGATGGTATCAAGGAAAATGCGAATTAGATAAGACATGGTGCAATTGATCATATGATCAAATCAAAAGTATATCGCGTAAGTAATATTTATTTCAAATATATAAAACTGTATATGTATATAATGTATAAATGAATAAGAGTATCCCTATGATATGAAAATTGTTTAACATGTACATGTAAGTACATGCGTTCACATACACATTAAAATGAAAATGCGCAAATGTTAATTTAATACTAATTTAATTAATTTAAATTAATTTAATAGTAGTATTATTCTATTTGTACATTGTACATTTAGAATGTAAAAAATTATAAAAACTTAGTGCAATAAAATTATATATCGGAGCAACGTATATTATATACTTAATTACGGAGAATATACTTTATATTCGCGTAATATAAATATATAAATATATATAAAAATAAATATATATAAAAAAGTTTCACATATGAATGGATTACAAAAAATTGTAACATTAATTGTTCTATGTCGACGAAGTTCCTTTAGTGTTACGACCTTTTTTAACTTTTGATTCAGGCGCATTTGGATTGACACCTTTATAAAAATTTTGGAGCAATCTCATGGCTTCTTCTCCTTTTACATTTCCCTGTATAATTATTTTTGAATCGTAAAACTTTGGTACTTCGAGAACACTGATACAACCACCAAATCGATCGTTCGCACAGCCATATACAATACTGCGTACTTGTAGTTGAAGTAATGCTGACATACACATTATGCATGGTTCTACCGTGACAATTACATCTAGATTACGAAACACCATTTTGTAATCCATGCATTTCTCCTTACAGAACTTTAAGACTTGGTCGATGCAATTTATCTCGGCATGACGTGTTGCATTACAAGTTTCATTTACTGTATTATTGCTTGTCGCAATTATTTGGTTGTTATATATAAATAAACAACCAACAGGGACTTCACCAGCTTTTAAAGATTCCTCAGCTTTTTGTAATGCAACATCCATCCATACCAAAGTATCCATAATAAATACTAAACTTAATTATTGTATTATATGCTGGCGAGATATTTTTAAAATCAATATTAAAGACAGTTTTCTATAAAATTATTAACTCTTTCATGATTATTCTTTATAAAAAATGTTATTTTAAAATAAAAAAAAAATACTATCTGATGTTTATATCTTTAATAAATAATATCTTACGCAACAGAAAAATTAGACAGCAGTAGTACTTGCTTTGTCAAAATATTTGAGTAATTCCAACTCATTTAGCTGCTGCTTAGCTATTTCATTCCAATTTTGATTACCTACTGCTCTTGGACTGGGATGTCGCAGAACCATCACCTGAAAAAGCCATTGTACAAGTTAACATAAATCTTGTGTTATATATGTTATTATTATTAAAATACTGCAGTATGTTACCTGTACTGGAAGACCTCCTGTTTGGACTGCAGTCTGTGCTCTTTTTTCAGCATATTTGCCAATGCCAATAACGACCTCTACTTTTAGAAGTTGTATTATATCTATCAGGGATTTGTCGCAAGCCTCATGTAAAATCTTTTGTCCGTCACCCTGAAAAATACAGAATAGTTCAGCATAAGAAGAAAGGAATGTAACAGGATAAATATTGCCTTTATTTCTGCCGGTGTGATGTTTCGAGCTTTGCCATCCATGAATGCCAGTGGGCAATAATTGTGCATGTATGCATATCGGAAAAAGTTCTCGGGATTTCCGCATAGTTCTTGAAAGAGGCCCCACAGCCTTAATCCGCTAACTTCACTGCGTGTACATTGGAATCCTACCACCTTTCGGTCGGGATGTTCTTTTGAGGGTTTGCCAACAGGACCAGAAATTTTGAGCCAATCTCGCACCATATTTATTTCTCCAAATGGTACACCGGTTTGTGACATACCCCATGGTCCAGGATTCATACCAACGAACAAGATCTTTTTTATGCCAGTACAATACTTGTGTACATACATGGCATGTGTTTCAGATGCATATTCGAGTGGATTGTAAATATATTGTATAGGTGGTAAAAAAGTAATATTTTGCAATTTGATACAAAGCTCTTGTTCAATTGATAACAATGTGTCAGAAATAAATATAGATATTGTAGAAGCATGCTCAGAGGTATCTTCTTTTGCTTTCGTATCAGGAACAGGTTCAGATATGGCAGATGTGTGTTCCTTTATATCTACATTTTTAATTCTTAAATTCGTTTGTATTTGTGTCATATAATCTACGACGTTTGAATTCGACCGTTTGAGTTTTCTTTCACTTGACAAATCATCACTTTTTGCTCTAGTTCTCTTTGCATGAGACATAATTACTTTTCGAAGGTCGAATATATATATAGAAACTCAAGAAAGAATTAAATATTATATTGAAATAATTATATTTAAAAAGTTACGTGTACGATAAACAGCTGTATTAATTAATGCGTCAGTAATTTAAAGATATATAAAATACAATTCCAATGTTTTATTCAAGATACGGATATTATATCAATAAAAATTGTGTTCAACCTTCAAGATAATAGTAACTGCATAATATTTTTTGTAATTTCTCTGATTCCTCTGATCGAACTGATAAACATCATCAATTACCGCAAGTGCAGGTCAGCTAAAATCCAGGAATCGTACTTGTGTACACTAATGTAGTTTTAATAGATCTATCTTTTTCTCTTTCGTTATTTCGTTCAAAATCTACGAAACGCTTCCGAACGTTCCCGAGAATATTCCGTTACGCATAGGTATAAAAAGAAATCCTCTACAGTCTATTTTGTCTACTCACCACTATTATCCCATTTATGCCATCGGTTGTACGAACACATCAACACACATGGACTAAACACACTGCATTTGCACTTTTTAGATCTCGTTTTTTTCCCACTCCTTTGCAAAATTGAGCAGAATTATCTAAATTACATACATTCATCTCAGTTTTGAGTGTAGAAAGTGTATAAATGCAATTAAAAAATGAAACGGGATATACCAACACCACGTGCTTTAACTAACATAACCTAACTTAACTTACACGCACAATGCACTGATGATTGGATTCGAGCAATTGAAATTCGGAAATTGTGGAATTCAATCTCACGTATTGGATTATATGCTCGATTATTACGTAATATGATTATATGATTATATGATTATATCATTACGTTATATGATTATTTTATTAACCGATCCGAAAAATAAAATCGATATCTGATAAGAGATCCTTATATCGCAATGTTTTTTAAACTCTAAAATGCTGAATTGATCAACTTTTTGTGAATAAGAGATGCCGTTAATATGTGATCGTGCAAATTTGTTTAAGTATGTTTAAAGATTACATTCACATAGAGATGAATTTTTGCATGCGTAGTCTGTACGTGAATGATGTTCATACTGCATACTAGAAATCGTCGGAAATGGCGTCCGATAGACGAAGTACTCTGAAACGAAAATTGATCGATACTGGAAGTGACTCGGACAATGAAACAGAAAGTGAGTATGTGTGCAATTTTGTATGATGTATTATATTGTTAATTTAAATCAATACGTTCTAGATACATAACGATTTTAATGAAATGCAAATAAGTGCAGTTTGAGGTTAAATGATGTTTGCCATGATGTTTTCTTGATTTTTCATGAATTTGTACAATAATACATTTACGGGCATTGATATGTAATTGAGAAAGTAAAATGAGAAAGTAAAATAATCGATGAAGAAAGTGAAATGATCTCACATTCACTCTTTTTACTTATTACTTAAAACATATATAACTTATAATATTATTATCTCATAGGCATATTTTTTTCTTATTACAGAGACTGCAAAGTATATAAAAACGAAATCAGAGGCGCCGCGATTGTGTCCGTATTTGGACACGATTAATCGACAATTTCTGGATTTTGATTTTGAGAAATTGTGTTCTGTATCACTATCTAGGATTAATGTGTATGCTTGTCTGGTTTGCGGTAAATATTTCCAAGGCAGAGGCACTAATACTCATGCTTACACACATAGCGTGGCAGAGAGTCATCATGTTTTTCTTAATTTGCATACACTCAAATTTTATTGTTTACCAGATAATTACGAGATAGTAGGTAGGTAAATTCATTCTTTATGTCTATATTCTTCAGCAAATAACATTTATATGTTTGCTAGATTCATCTCTGGATGATATTAAATATGTGTTAAATCCAACTTTCGATAAAATGCAAATAACTCAACTAGACAAGAGCGATAAACAATCTAGAGCAATCGATGGCTCTATGTATTCACCAGGAATAGTAGGAATGAATAACATAAAAGCAAATGATTATTGCAATGTCATTTTACAAGTAATGTAGTTTATAATTTTAAATAAATAATTATTAATATCGACATTCTATGCATTTTGTCATCTTAACATTTTTTTATAGGCGCTCTCGCATGTTACACCTTTGAGAGATTTCTTTTTAAGAGAATTTAATTATGCTCATGTAAGGAGACCACCTGGTGATTCATCGTATCTCTTGGTACAAAGGTTTGGAGAACTTATGCGCAAATTATGGAACCCACGTAATTTTAAAGCTCACGTAAGCCCACACGAAATGCTGCAAGCGGTAGTCTTGTGGAGCAAGAAAAGATTTCAGTTCACAGAGCAAGGTATGTAACAGATTTTATCAACTTGTATTTTTTTTACGCGATTAAAATAATGTTTTTATCAATAAGTGATTATGTTTAGGTGATCCTGTGGATTTTTTATCATGGTTCTTAAATGCTCTCCATCTGGCATTAAATGGTACAAAAAAGCGTGATTCTAGCATCATTTATAAAACATTTTTGGGTCATATGCGAATATATACACGAAAAATACCACCATTGGAATTAGAGGAGAGCCAAAGAAGTGAATTGTTACACACGGTGGAGTATGGTGAAACTGTGACGGAAAGTCCATTTTTATATCTCACTTGCGACCTTCCGCCACCTCCACTATTTAAAGATCAATTTACAGAGAATATTATTCCACAGGTTGGTATTTTGTTATATGCATATAATATATTTTGTTATATGCATATAATATTGATCATATAAATGGAATGTAGCAGAGAAATAAAAAATCGCTCTTTTATTCATCCAGGTAAATCTGTATACGCTCCTGAATAAATTTAACGCCGTCACTGAGAAAGAATATAAAACTTACAAGGAAAATTTCATGAAAAGATTTGAGATTACCGAACTACCACCATATCTCATACTTTATATAAAAGTAAATCTTATATCTACTATTAGTGTCGATATATTTTGCATTATTTGATAATTTTTTATTGATTTTAGAGATTCACAAAAAATACATTCTTTGTTGAAAAAAATCCAACAATTGTGAATTTTCCTGTTAAGTAAGTATATAATATTTTCTCGTTTCATATACTATTGTATATTAAAAAATTTATTAACAATTTATTTAATTATAAATCTTGATTATGTTGACAGAAATGTCGATTTTGGAGATATTTTAACATCGGAAGTGAAAGCCAAGCATCCATATACAACGTATGACTTAGTAGCCAATATAGTACACGATGGTGAACCTGGACAAGGTACATATAGAGTTCATATTTTGCATAAAGCCACAGGCCAATGGTACGAATTGCAAGATTTGCACGTCACACAAATTTTACCCCAAATGATCACTCTTACCGAAGCATATGTACAGGTGAGAAAAGAGAAACGGTACTTGTTTCTTTGCAGTTTGCGATATTTAGATAATCATTATGTTTTCTTTTTATAGATTTATGAATTAAGGAAAGACACGCACATGGAAAACGGAGACAATAAAAATAAAAAAGTTATGTGATATGCTTGAATAAAAATATGAAAATATCGGAAATATGAAAATAAAAAGTTTACATTTTATCTATATAGACTTTGTCTTAATTTTCTAATATTTCCGTAATAAGCTTACACTAATAAGCTGACATTTTTCATTATTTAGTTTTATTTTTCTTCCGTTTCCATTAATGATGATTTTTATTACAGATAGAAATTATTTTTAACGAATTTCTTTACTTATTTATATAAATTATTATTAATAGATTTTTAGATTTATTAAAAATTAAATGATTACAATATGCTTAGTTTTTTGATATTAAAAATATTTTGTTATCAAATTTATTAAGAGCAATAAAGAACGAATGTTTTTTTATATAATAACTAATTCATATAAAAAATCGTTTTACATACATTGTAAATTATCTCTCTTTCTCTTGGAATTAAATACAGTACAAGAAAGATTTCATTCTTCTTGTGTAAAATTCAAATGGATTACGTGTATTCGTTTGGTTTGTGTTTCGAGTTTGGGAGCGAGCGGCGTCGAGTGTGGCCGAGTGTTACCGAATAATACCGAACGGCTCGATAGTATAAGCAGAATAAGAGAGAAGGATAGGAAAAGGCGAAGCTGTACGGAGATGCACGAGATAGGAGTCGGAGCAAGTCGGAGGTTTCGGAGCAGATCTCGGGCCTGCTCGGCTCGGGTTCGGAGGACGTTCGCGGTTCAGACTGTTCGGAGTTGGTGATGAGCGGACAGTCGGGCACGCGCGACTGCGAGTTGCAACTCTGCGAGGCGAAGCAATCGTGAGTGAACGTGTGTCGCGCGCGTCGCGTTCCCCGCGCTTTTCGTCCATGCGTCAAGTCACCGACGTGCCTCTCTCTCCTCTTTTCTTGTTATTCCTTCACTCGTTGCATCGCGTAAAATCGCGTGCGCCGTTACAAGCATATGTATCATGCATGTGTTGCATCACGCGCGTGAGTGTCCCGCGATGATCGCGTTGCATGCATCTTTGTTGCATCCGTCACGTGGATTATCGCCGGTCCAACGGAACGGACGCGCCGGGGGATTTTTGTTCGACTGCAAGTGGTGAGTGTACATTCTATTCTTGCGACAAAAAACTACGAGAAGAGCGACGACATTTCGAACGGCCGCCTTCCAAGTTCCACTATCCGTCTTTCGCGATGGCGCCGTCGCGCTTGCTCCGCAAAAGCGAGCGACGTTTCAAACTCACTGCCTGCCTGCGGCAACGGCAACGGTTGCGTCCTTCGCGCTCGACCTTCCCTTGCTTGCATTTGGCAGCGTCTAATTTCTCTCTCTCTCTCTCTCTCTCTCTCTCTCTCTCTCTCTCTCTCTTTCCCTCGGAGAGTCTCTATATTTTCATATTTTATTCGCGCGCGGCGCCGCGTCGTCGCAATTTCACGATGACGATATTCGCGAGTGAGGGTACTTTTACCTAACCTATCTACCTGTCTACCTCCCCTCTCGCGTCTTCGTCGTCTCGAGGAGTCGAGCGACGTCGAATACCTGTTTCGCGTGATGCTCGAAAAAAACTGTTCGATCGCGTGGCTGCCGTCGCACGGAGGAGCCGAGATCTGCCGAGAAGCAAGGCAAAAGACGTGATACGCGGCTACACGCGCTTCATTGCGGGAGACTAAACGAGTAGGATAGGTGGGAGGAGAGACGAGGACGAGAGATGGGACGGTCCGTTGACTCTCTGACTCTCTCGCGGAAGGATTCCGCGAGTTTCGGATTCCTAGCGTCCCGTCACCGCCGTCACCGTCGTGTATTGCCGATGTAAACTCGTTTCTGCGCACGATCTGCGAATGACGAACAAATAATCCGCGTCTGTATACATTTCCCGCTTATCTAAGATTTCAAAGTCGCAACATGCGAACATGCAGCTCTGATTCTTATTATTCTTGCCCGTGCATCTCGACACCCAGTGCATTCAAGGCGTGACTCGCCTATTTGAATAAGATGATTCATTGCTCGATGTTGCTTTAGATACTGAAATTTCTAACGTTGTATTTCAGAACTACAAGGTAAAATTCTCTATATCCTTGTGGGAAATATAATTGCTAGTTGTACAGTATATGACAATCTTCACCTTCCATCCATATTGCTTGATGCGAAATTGTCATTTACGCGAGGCGTACTGTTACGAAAAAAAATCTGCAAAAAAACACTACACTTTGCATAGATATTGCTTGTACTCACGATATGTAATTTGAGTATCAGTTAATGCAATTTAATGCACTGTTGCAATCTAGATTTACATTATAGTGCTTACCAAAAATTGAACGATGTTAGAGCTCAAACAGAAATTGAATAATAACAGCGGCATGAACAAAAATACAATACAATTAGGCAAAATTAGAAGTTGCATTAACGTATAAGTTGGCCTTGTATGATATTTTGGAAAGATGATTTGGTAAAGTTTTTTAAGTATTAGATTTTTCCGATTTGATATGTAAATTTTTTTTCATATATTTTTAATTATTTCACTATACAATAAACATACTATTGTTCTTATATGCAACATTATTCAATAACAAATGAGAGTATAATAGTATAACTAATAATATAACTAATAGTATAACTTAATAGTATAACTAATACTGTTAAAAATATGTACATAATATAATCTACGTATGGCAAATTAGACAGATATCGCGATATATTAAAGGAATTAATGTTATGAATTTATTGCGCGTAGTTTACTTAACGAGTTAATAATTATAATTGTTTAAGTTCTGTAGACAGAGCTTGAATTAGTTAAGAATGTTGTAAAATGAATGTTTGTAAAAAGAAAGTACTGCTCGAGCACCTCGAGTATAGATTTGCCCGAATAATCTTGGCACGTTTCTGAAGGTCAAATTTTACGGTAATATTGTCTAATTACGTAACGTACGACATGAAGATACGTCATCAAGTAGCATTCGCGGAAAGACGAACTCTTAACGATGATAACACTTAATCACTCCGATATCTTGAGAGAAATTCTAATAAATGGAACAATATGTATTGTTTAACTGTATTAAACAATTTTTGCTTATTTTTTATTTGTGAGAGAAATTCTCGGAATAACTCACAAATACGCTTGTCTGAATTAATTAATTATAAAGACATACATTGCGATATAATTTTTATTAATTGCAAGTTTTAATTTCTTAAAATTTTACTTAATAAATTTGACTTAAAATATTTACTGGAATTTAAACAAGTTTAAGTTTTCGCCAAATTTCTTTCAGGGAGTGCTTACCAAAAATTGTAGAGTAAACCTTTTTTCATGTTTTTAGTAACATAAATCTCTTAGAAATCGAATTGATTATTTTTATTAATTTATTAATTTATTCCATTTCTTAAGTAAATTTCTTATTTCCCTTATTTATTGGTCCCTGAAAAGTACATGAATAGTTATAACTTAATTTCTAGTTAATAGCTGGTAACTGAATTTTTAATTTCAATAAAATTTGTAATATTAACTTTTTCATAAAGTTGCTCAAGTTGATTTCTGAGAGTATATGATTGTACTTGATTGTACTTATTACTTAATTCGATGCAAAGTTCGCAAGAGAATGAAATTAAGAATTGTCGGATGTAACGTAATGTACGTAACGTAATGTAAATCTAAATAGGGTAAAGAAGGAAAATAAGGAAGCGTGAGACTTACTTGAGTAAATCGCTGCAACAGCAGGTGGACCGGCTATGCAACATTCGCGCATATGCGATTACCTGCAATTGAACCTGATGGTTATGATACCTCGCGAAACCGCGATATACCGACGAATTGGGTTATACGAATCCCGTATAGAAATCATTACGCGCATGCAGATGCGTCTCGTTAACTCTAAGGCCATTTGATGTATGCCTGAAAGTCGTTTACTTTTCGAGAGCAACTTTCGAACGACAGATTCGTGATAGACACAATTGACAGCGATACTCGATTATCGTATTCCTCTCAAGAGGTTAGACTAACTGAGAATAAAATTCTCAAGAGCGTCCGTCTTAAGTACTGTGTAGAGTTAAAATGTATAAAATGAATTATGATGAAAGAGATGAGAGAAAGTTTTTCAAACGTCGGTTTTGTGCACGTTAATTTGATATTTTTTAGAATACTTTGTATAATAATATTTATTAATTTTTAATCGGAACTTTACTATTATATATATAGTAGCAAAATAAAAAGAATATAGAAAGAGATTTTTATGTAAATTTTTCATCTAAACTCTCTAATCTAAAGCGTGGACGCTTCAAACTTTTCGACCTAAAACTGTCAATGAAGCGGAACAAACAAGCGTAAATTGTCTTCCTAAATTTTGGAATCTAGGACAATCGTTTATGAAATTGATAATACTTTTCACAATTGGAGTCCAATCGATTTAACATTCATTATTCGTTGTTTATCAAAGAATGCAATTCTTTCTTTTTTTCGAAAATACTGTGAAATGAATAAATATGATTATCAATTAGGACGTATCTCAATAATTTTGATGTCGTTATTTCTCGACGCATCGACTGAATTTCACATCAAACTTTTATTTTATAAATATAAAATCAGTTAGCTATAATATACACATATATTTATTTAGAAGATTTTTATGACATTCGAGACAAGTTCACGAGTGTCGATCATTTATTTTCTTCCACTTTCTTCGTATGAAGAGAGAGAGCACTTTACGCGGTGATTAGGAGTTGAAGGGATGTCACGCCGTAACTCATCGTGAATCGGATACAATGCATGAGGTACTATTCTCATTTACGTAATGCACGACTACGGGAAAACAATATGGCGCGTTGTCGTGCCTCGTCGACTCGCAGACGTCGAAAAGAAAAAAAAAAAAGAAAATCTCGAGGCTGCGATCGCCGAGTTTGTACATTTGTTGTTTCGAGTTTCGACGCTTAAATGCAACTAAGACATGCGGATTGCAACGAGTGTGCAAAATTACGAGGACTTATTCGCATTCTTGCACTCAATAAATATTGAAATGCTCTTGCTGAGAAAAATTTCGCATTGATTTCAAGAAACAGGTAATCCTACAGCATATATTGTGACGTGCTCGATATCGATCTGTGCACGGTGCATCGCGTTTCGGTATTTCGTTAGAAATTTTTCTTTCTCGCGTGAGTCGCAGAGAGATAGAATACACTTTATTGATATTCTTGTTATTCCCTTTTTACATTTCGGGAAATCGTTCCTGCTTCAGAAAATACCGAGGTTATTGTTCCATTTGACCGAGAGACAAGTTAGATTTTACGTAACTTTAGAACACACACGCGATGCACAAAGCAGTTAGATATTTTCAGTTTTTATCTAAAAAATGTTTAATTAATAAATAATAATAAGGTTCTGTAAGTATAAAACAATATAGGCAAAAGAAGAGCAAAGAGCCAATAATGTAGCAAAGAACTTCAATTTAAATCATAAAATTCATATAATAATTACAAAAGACAAAAACATACGTTTCGATTCCGCTCGAGTTATTCTCAATGTTGCGGTAAACTTATTCAAACATCGCTATAAAATAAATATATATATAATTACAAAACTCATTATAATTCTAAAATACGTATTCTTCATTTTGTGTTCGGTGCAAGTCAATTACTTTCTTACTACTTTGATTTCCGATATTATTGACTCGTAGCGTACGACACAAAATGAAGAATACGTATTTTAGAATTACGAGTTTTGTAATATTTTATATATATATATATATATATATTTGTCTTATAGCGATGTTTTAATAAATAAATAATGTTTACCACAACATTGAGAATGACTCGAGCGGAGTTGAAACGTATGTTTTTGTCCTTTGTAATTATTATATGAATTTTAAGAACTTTATTTAAATTAAAGTTCTTTGCTATATTATTGGCTCTTTGCCCTCTTTTTGTCTATATTAAAAATATTTAATTTTTAAGCTGAAATTGTCGAATATTTCTTGTCTTTCTTTTACATTTTCTCTGGATAATATTATATTTAATGGTCACATCGGCTCTTGTTCGCCAGGAAAAGTTTATATTTATGTCGAGCTAAATTTATAAGAATGACTCTATAATATTTCGTTGCAACTTTTAGTTTTATA